CCTACAAGTCTTACAAGACCTACAGGATCCACAAGTCCTACAAGACCTACCAGACCTACAAGTCCTACAAGACCTACAGGACCACAAGTCCTACAAGACCTACCAGACCTACAAGTCCTACAAGTCCTACAAGACCTACAAGACCTACAGGACCTACAAGACCTACAGGACCTACAAGACCTACAGGACCTACAAGACCTACAGGACCTACAAGACCTACAGGACCTACAAGACCTACAGGACCTACAAGACCTACAAGACCTACAAGATCTACAAGTTCTACAAGTCCTACAAGACCTACAAGTTCTACAAGTCCTACAAGTCCTACAAGACCTACAAGTCCTACAAGACCTACAAGACCTACAAAACCTACAAGACCTACAAGTCCTACAAGACCCACAAGTCCTACAAGACCTACAGGACCCACAAGTCCTACAAGACCTACCAGACCTACAAGTCCTACAAGACCTACAGGACCCACAAGTCCTACAAGACCTACCAGACCTACAAGTCCTACAAGACCTACAAGACCTACAAGACCTACAGGACCTACAAGACCTACAGGACCTACAAGACCTACAGGACCTACAAGACCTACAAGACCTACAAGACCTACAAGATCTACAAGATCTACAAGTCCTACAAGACCTACAAGTTCTACAAGTCCTACAAGTCCTACAAGACCTACAAGACCTACAAGTTCTACAAGTCCTACAAGTCCTACAAGACCTACAAGACCTACAAAACCTACAAGACCTACAAGTCCTACAAGTCCTACAAGACCCACAAGTCCTACAAGACCTACAGGACCCACAAGTCCTACAAGACCTACCAGACCTACAAGACCTACATGTCCTACAAGACCTACATGTCCTACAAGACCTACATGTCCTACAAGACCTACAAGTCCTACCAAGACCTACAGGTCCTACAAGTCCTACAAGACCTACCAGACCTACAAGTCCTACAAGACCTAAGTATTCCATATGAACATTTTCCTTTTTTGAAGTTTTTGTTTTTCAGCCAGTAGGCGGAGTTATAGCCTCCTTTTCACATGTTTTCTGCACTATCCATATTCACTTTGTTTACAAAAAAAGCTGGTTGATAACAGGGCTCAATAGCTCAAGCTTGGATTTGAACTCACAACATAAACATATGCGCGCTCCCAGCACATGTGTCGGCATCCTCTCTCCTTGTGATCGGAACCTTTCCGATCATGTGACTGCCATGACCTTAACCCCCGACCCCTGCTTCCTGGCATCGGAAACCCCTTAAAGGGCCGGAGGCATCGGCTTGAAGGGGTTAAAATGTTACTAAACCCCCAACAGTACAATCAGTCTGTAGATGCAGTAAAGCATGCTTGTTATACTCACTGTGGAACCTAAGGGGTTAATCCTCTGCATTGTGTAAAAATGCTGTTTGATCCTGTCTTCTCTGATCCTCCCCTTCTTCTACTGTCCCCAATCCATCTGTTGATAGTACAGAGCTCTAGGAGTCACTCTGCACATGCTCATCTTGGTGTGTATTGCTAGAGAGTTATTTTATGTTATTTTATTTTATTGTGAGAGTGCATGTGATCAGCACAGGGCCAATCAAAGCTGTCCAGACAGAGGTAAGGGGTTCTGCATTCTCCTAGAGCAGAATGAAAACTCCTCCCACAAGCTTTAACCAGTGCTCTGCTGGATACTGATAGAAGTCACAAGACTGCTATATACTGCTGATGAGAAAAGGTATTTAGCAGTTTATATTTACTAAAATAATTGAATTTCCATGTTCTGTGTACTGTGGATATAGTGGAATGCAGGGTCCGGGGAGACCGGATATAGTGAATGCAGGATCCGGGGAGAGCGGATATAGTGAATGCAGGGTCTGGGGAGACCGATATAGTGAATGCAGGGTCTGGGGAGGACCGGATATAGTGAATGCAGGATCCGGGGAGAGCGGATATAGTGAATGCAGGGTCTGGGGAGACGGATATAGTGAATGCAGGGTCCGGGAGACCAGATATAGTGAATGCAGGTCCGGGGAGAGCGAATATAGTGAATGCAGGGATCCTAGGATGAGCGGACATATAGTGAATGCGGGGTCCGGGGAGAGGGAATAGTGAATGCGGGGTCCGGGGAGAGCGAATATAGTGAATGCGGGGGGTCCGGGGAGACCGGATATAGTGAATGCAGGTCTGGGGAGAGCGGATATAGTGAATGCAAGGTCCGGGGAGAGCGGATATAGTGAATGCGGGGTCCGGGGAGAGAGCGGATATAGTGAATGCGGGGTCCCGGGGAGCCCGGATATAGTGAATGCGGGGGTCCGGGGAGACCGGATATAGTGAATGCAGGGTCCGGGGAGAGCGGATATAGTGAATGCAGGGTCCGGGGAGACCGGATATAGTGAATGCAGGGTCCTGGCAGAGCGGATATAGTGAATGCAGGGTCCGGGGAGAGCGGATATAGTGAATGCAGGGTCTGGGGAGACCAGATATAGTGAATGCAGGGTCCGGGAGAGCGGATATAGTGAATGCAGGTGTCCGGGGAGACCGGATATAGTGAATGCAGGGTCCGGGGAGACCGATATAGTGAATGCAGGGTCTGGGGAGACCAGATATAGTGAATGCAGGGTCCTGGGAGACCAGATATAGTAAATGCAGGGTCCGGGGAGACCAGATATAGTGAATGCAGGGGTCCGGGGAGACCAGATATAGTGAATGCAGGGTCCGGGATTGAGACCGGATATAGTGAATGTGGGGTCCGGGGAGACCGGATATAGTGAATGCAGGGTCCGGGGAGACCGGATATAGTGAATGCGGGGTCCGGGGAGACCGGATATAGTAAATGCGGGGGTCCGGGGAGACCGGATATAGTGAATGTGGGGTCCGGGGAGACCTGATATAGTGAATGCGGGGTCCGGGGAGACCAGATATAGTTGAATGCGGGGGTCCGGGGGAGACCAGAAATAGTGAATGCGGGGTCCGGGGGAGACCAGATATAGTGAATGCGGGTCCGTCCGGGAGACCAGATATAGTGAATGCGGGGTCCGGGGAGAGCAGATATAGTGAATGCAGGGTCCGGGGAGAGCGGATATAGTGAATGCAGGGTCCGGGGAGACCAGAAATAGTGAATGCAGGGTCTGGGAGAGCAGATATAGTGAATGCAGGTCCGGGAGAGAGTGGATATAGTGAATGCAGGGTCCAGGGAGACCGATATATAGTGAATGCAGGGTCCGGGGAGAGCGATATAGTGAATGCAGGGTCCGGGGAGACCAGATATAGTGAATGCAGGGTCCGGGGAGAGCGGATATAGTGAATGCAGGGTCCAGGGTGAGACCGGAATAGTGAATGCAGGGTCCGGGGTTTATTAACCCTTTAAGTGGTTATAGTAAAACAAATATAATAATAATAAATGTAGAATTGATCTCATCTTCCCTTTCTCATACATCATCCTCAATGTGCTGAGAGTACCAGATCTGCGTACAAACACACAGTCCATGCTAGAACCTGAAGCGCTGGTTCTCGATGGTCCAGCTGGAACTTACTTCTCGCAGTGCCGCCCGCTCGTGAAATCTCGGCAGGCGGTGCAGGCTCCAGTCCTGGGGTCACAGTCCTCGGAGTGGCCATTACACTGGCAGGGCTTGCAGTGGGGGAAGCCCCATTGTCCCGGAAGGCACTGGCTGCACTGTCTCCCGGCCACACTGCCGTGGCACTGACACTGACCCGTGACGGGGTTGCAGAACCGGGAGGCGGAGCCCTGGGAGTCGCAGTCGCACTCTGTTGTGAAACACAATAGATTTTTTTGGAGTTACTCTCATATCCAGCATTCAGAAAACTCCCATCTCCATGTTACCCAATGGCAAGATTCAAGTCGCTGCGGGTCACATGGATTCCAATGTCTTACGCCGGCCATAGACGGTTCGTTTATCGGCCGAATTTTCATCCGAAAGAATAATCGCACCGTTAGTGGGGCCATGTCGTCGGCCGATTTTCGCGGTTCCTCCTCGTTTCTTTTATTGCTCATGCTGGAAAATTTACTAAAAACAACCGATTTTCGTAAGCATTGGTGACAACAGAATGACTGATTTTTCGTTTTTGGGCCGAAAAATTCACCCGATAAATGGACCGTCTATGGCCGGCATTAGTTGACACCAGTGTGGTCAGTTCCAGAAAAAAAGTCGAACAGGCTGCATTTATCCTGCACTGAACTGTACTGGAATGCAGTAAAATGCATCAAAAACGCACCGGAATGCACATGAAGAAAAAGAGAGGAAAAAAAACACGCATACAGAAACGCATCTGGACTGCATTTCTATGGTATGAACCCGGGGCGGACTGACCATTTGGAAACTTGGGCACTGCCCGAGGGTCCGGGGTCAGTAGGGGGCCCCATGAGATGCCCCTGGTACCTTTTTCATGGGCTTTTTTGAGTTTGGGCAAGGACACAGCACTTATGCGGGCCATACATGCTTCGAATTCCGAACGATTTTTCGTCCGAAAATCGAAAATGTTGTTCGCTCGGTAATCCGATGGCGCCATCAATCGTTTCAAAAATCGGCCGACCGAGTCATAAAGTTCACCCCATAGAACAGGCGAAACTTCTGTTCCTTCCAGGTCACGGCTCATGCGCACATTCTTTTCAGGAAAAACGATCGTACGATTTGACCATCGAGTCGAAAAGCGGTCGTTTTTCACGAATTTTCCAACATGCCCATCACCAAAAAGGGGAGGAAGCACAAAAATCGGCTGGTGCCATTGACCCACTAACAGAGCGAAAATCGGCCGATTATTCTTAGGTTCAATTTTTGGATGAAAAATCGGTTGAATTTCGACCCATGTATGGCCGGCCTTAAGGAAGGACTTCATCTGTTCAGTCGGTGACCGAAGGCGTGTGAAATCTTTTACCTTGGCGTGTTGGAATGTAAAACTGTGAGAGTCTCTACTTACTGCTGCACCCGTACGGGCCGAACCCATAGGTCCCCGGAGCGCACTGGTCGCAGCGCTGGCCAATCACATTGGGTTTGCACATACACTGGCCTCCGATTTTGTCGCACACGGCGCTGAGCGAACCTTGCAAATCGCACAGACAGGCTGGAAGAGAAACAAAGCACAAACCCGCCAGAGGTAAGTGATGGCGGAGAATACGAGCCGAATATCTGCGACTGAAACGCACACAGTAATCCGATCAATAATCTCAGAATTCTCACCGCGGTGCAGAACGCTTCAGCTTCACGTCATTTTTCCATCAATTTACATCTGTTTTTCGTTTATATCGCAAAAAAAAAACAACAACAACCCGGCGATGATCGAATACCACCAAAAGAAACCAAAAAAAATGCCGTGATCATGAAGGCTTTACCCACTTCATGACCAAGGCATTTTTTTTTCCTATTCAGCGCTGTGCTACTTTAGCTGGCAATTGTGCGGTCATGCAACGCTGCAAACAAGTTACATTTCTATCATTTTTTCACACAACAGAGCTTTCTTTTGGTGGTATTTGATCACCGCCGGGTTGTTTTTTTTTTTTTTTTTTTTGCAATAGAAATGAAAAAAGACTGAAAAACCCCCAATATTTACTACTTTCTGGTATAAATGATATCCAAAAAAGAAAAATTACATTTCTTCAAATTTCAGGACAAAATGTATTCTGCTGCATGTCTTTGGTACAACAAATCCCAATAAAGGCCCTAAAAACACGGACGTTCCGTGTCTTTCATCAGTTCAGTCACGTGTTTTCCAAGAAAAAACAGATTAGATCACATCATTTTTTTCTCAGTTCTCATCCATTTTTCATCGGTTTACATCAGTTTTTCATCAGTTCAAATCATTTTTTCACCATTTTTCCATCAGTTTACATGTTTTTCATAAGTTTACATCTGTTTTTCATCAGTTCACATAATTTTTCATCAGTTTGCATCAGTTATTCATCAGTTATGCATCAGTTTGCATCAGTTTTTCATCAGTTTACATCAGTTTTTTACATCGGTTTTCAAATCAGTTTTACATCAGTTCACATCAGTTTTACATCCATTTTTCATCCGTTTACATCGGTTTTTCATCAGTTCACATCAGTTTTTTCATCAGTTTACATCCATTTTTCATCCGTTTTACATCGGTTTTTCATCAGTTCACAACAATTTTCATTGGTTCACATCAGTTTTTTCATCAGTTCACATCAGTTATTCATCAGTTTACATCTGTTTTTCATCCGTTTTTTCATCCGTTTACATCTGTTTTCCATCAGTTCACCTCATTTTTTCATCATTTTTTTTCATCAGTTTACATGTTTTTTCATCCGTTTACATCAGTTTGCATCAGTTCACATCATCAGTTTTCTTTTCATCGGTTTTACATTTGTTTTTTTCATCAGTTTTTCATCAGTTTTTCATCGGTTTTTCATCAGTTTTTCATCAGTTCACATCAGTTTCTTCATCATCGGTTTACATTTGTTTTTCATCAGTTTTTTCATTTCAGTTTTTTTTCATCAGTTCACATCAGTTTTTCATCAGTTTCACATCAGTTTTTTCATCCATTTTCATCATCAGTTTACATCGGTTTTCAGTCATCAGTTCACATCATTTTTTTTCACGACATTGTTTTTTTTTCATCCATCAGTTTTTTCATTAGTTCACATCCATTTTCTTCAGGTTACATTGGTTTTTTCATCAGTTTGCATCTGTTTATCATCGGTTTTTTACATCTGTTTTTCATCAGTTCACATAATTTTTTCACCAGTTTGCATCAGTTTTATTCATCAGTTTGCATGCATCATCAGTTTGCATCAGTTTTTTTTTCATCATCAGTTTACATCATTTTTTACATCGGTTTTATCAAATCAGTTTTTCATCAGTTTTCACATCAGTTTACATCCATCAGTTTTTCATCCGTTTTTTTTCACATCGGTTTTTTCATCAGTTCACATCAGTTTTTCATTCATCAGTTTTTCATCAGTTTTTCATCAGTTCACATCTGTTTTTCATCAGTTTACATCCATTTTTCATCCGTTTACATCGGTTTTTCATCAGTTCACAACAATTTTCATCGGTTTCACATCAGTTTTTCATCAGTTCACATCAGTTATTCATCAGTTTACATCTGTTTTTCATCCGTTTACATCCGTTTTCCATCAGTTCACCTCATTTTTTCATCAGTTTTTCATCAGTTTACATGTTTTTCAGCAGTTTGCATCAGTTCACATCAGTTTCTCATCGGTTTACATTTGTTTTTCATCAGTTTACTTCAGTTTTTCATCGGTTCACATCAGTTTTTCATCAGTTCACATCAGTTTTTCATCAGTTTTTTTCATCCATTTTTCATCCGTTTACATCGTTTTGTCATCAGTTCACAACATTTTTCACGAGTTTACATCCGTTTTTCATTAGTTCACATCCATTTTCTTCAGGTTACATTGGTTTTACATCAGTTTGCATCTGTTTATCATCGTTTTTTCATCTGTTTTTCATCAGTTTACATCGTTTTTCATCAGTTCACATCAGTTTTTCATCAGTTCGCTTCATTTTTCATCAGTTCACATCAGTTTACATCAGTTTTTCATCGGTTCACATCAGTTTTTGTATCGGTTTTTTCATCAGTTCACATCTGTTTTTTCATCAGTTCACATCAGTTTTTCATTGGTTTGCATCTGTTTTTCATCAGTTTTTCATCAGTTTTTTCATCAGTTCACATCCGTTTTTTCATCAGTTTACATCCATTTTTTCAGCATTTACATCAGTTTTTTCATCAGTTCACATAATTTTTGCATCAGTTTGCATCATTTTTTCATCAGTTCACATCAGTTTTGTATTGGTTTATGTCTGTTTTTCATCGGTTTCCATCTGTTTTTCATCAGTTCACATCAGTTTTTCATCAGTTTACATCACATCCATTTTTCATCCGTTTACATTGGTTTTTTTTATCAGTTCACAACCTTTTTCATGAGTTTACATCCGTTTTTTTGTACATCAGTTCACATCCATTTTTCATCAGGTTACATCAGTTTTTCATCAGTTTACATCCGTTTTTCATCGGTTTACATCAGTTTTTCATCGTTTCACATCAGTTTTTCATCAGTTTACATCAGTTTTGTATTGGTTTATCAGTTTTTCATCGGTTTCATCGGTTTTACATCCATTTTTCATCCGTTTTTCATCAGTTTTTTTCATCATCAGTTTTTCATCAGTTCACATCAGTTTTTCATTGGTTTACATCCGTTTTTCATCAGTTTACATCCATTTTTTTTCATCTGTTTTTTGGTTTACATCCGCTTGTTGTCAGTCAGTTTACATCCATTTTTTCATCCGTTGGTTTTTTTTTTTTTTTAACGGAAGGAAAATAGGTTTTTCTTCTGTTCAAAAAATGGATGCGGATATTAACGGATGTAAACAGATGATCATCCGTTTACATCCGCTAGTCCAAAGAAATACATGGGGGTCCGTTTTTCATCCAGAAACAGACAGATGAAAAACAGACATACGGAAAGCCCGTGTGAAAGGGGCCTAAGGGTGTATTGATTGGCTTGTGTGAAAGTCCACAAACTATGTGATATATATTTGAAAAGCGATCAATCCTGATGTACTGATGGCCAATTTCAATTCTTGTGGCTCTAAAATGTCAGGACAGTACAAATTTTTTCATTTTTGAACATTATTTTTAACTTTTTTTTTTAACATACTGTCATCAGAGTAGTTCAGTGACACCATAGTAACACTGCACTACTCTGTGGGGGTGATCAGGGCTTTTTTTTTTTTTTATTATAGAAAGAAGATCATTGTAACAGTAAAATATCTAACTGGGTGTCCAAGTACACACTATAGAGGGATATGCTTTGTTCATATTTCATGTCTGAGGTTTACACCCACTTTCACTTTGTACAGGACAACAGGATAACACCACCCACAAGTCTCATGATCACATCCATCAAACAGTGGCTGCCATTTTGTTGTAGACCTGTAAGGTCATTAATTGTCCACCATCAGGGAAAGTGGACCTGTCACTCACACGCAGAGCTCCGTCGTGGACAATGGCGGAGATACTGCACAGCAGCTTGATGCACATCTCCGCCAGGACCGGCATGGTGGCCATCTTGAAAGACTCCAGGCACCTGTAGGTCTCCATTTCTTCCCGGTGGTGCGTGGATGTGGGATCGTTACCATGGAAACCGGGCAGTTCGTAGACTTTGGGCAGAAGAACCAGCTGCGGGACGCAACAATACATAGCAAGTGATAAAACAAATAAATAAATAATAATTAAAAATTTTTTTTATATATATATATATATATATATATATACAAATATAAATCATATATAATAATAATAATAATAATAATAATAAAAAATAATAATGAAAAAAATAATATATATATATATGTATTAAATAAAAAAAAAGTTTAAAATAACTCTAACAAGATCTATTTATATATAAAAGGGAAACATTTACATTTTGAGCAAAGAAAAGTATAAAATAAAAAATTGGTGGTTTAGTTGTACCTAAGACCTCGAGGTTAGAATACTGGTCCGGCAGATATGACTCTGGTAGGAACATTAGGTTGTCGGCCTCGTTGGAGGCCCCAGACTAATGTCATGCTCTCTAAATACTATTTAAAGCAAAGTGACATTTTTTGGCGTTCTCTGGAAATATGTCAGCGATAAAATATAAATGAGTGAAATTATATAAAACAAGATCAGACTTGTAGCTTCTATTTTTGGACCCAACTAACACATGCAGTACAAGATTACAGCTGAAGGTGGCACTGCTGTCCCGAAATAATGTCATGTTTAAAGCGGTGTTCCAGTGAAAATAACAAAAAATAAATGTCGGCAGATGCATAAACTGTAGTTGCTGACTTTTAAAAAACTGACCTGTCCCTCCATCCTGCGATGTCCCCCCTGCAGCCCGTTTTATTGGCCGCCTTTTATCCCGCGCTTCAGGGGTTCCAATCCCCTCCATGGACACAGGTGTATACAATCAAGCCCCTAGGCATGCAGACTGCTTCTACAAACATTGGTGAAAGAATGGGTCGCTCTCAGGAGCTCAGTGACTCCAAGCGTGGTCCCGTGATAGGTGGCCACCTGGGCAATAAGTCCATCCGTGACATTTCCTGGCTACTAAATATTCCACGCTCCACTGTTAGTGGGATTATAACAAAGTGGAAGCAACTGGGAACAACAGCAACTCAGCCGCCAAGTGGTAGGCCACGTCACATGACAGAGCGGGGTCAGCGCATGAAGTCACCAACTGTCTGCAGAGTCTATAGCTAAAGACCTCCAAACTTGGTGTGGCCTTCAGATGGGCACAACAACAGTGCGTAGAGAGCTTCATGGAATGGGTTTCCATGGCCGAGCAGCTGCATCCAAGCCTTACATCACCAAGTGCAATGCAAAGCGTCGGATGCCGTGGTGTAAAGTACGCTGCCACTGGACTCTAGAGCAGTGGACATGTGTTCTCTGGAATGACCAATCACGCTTCTCTGTCTGGCGATGGACGTGCCTGGGTTTGGCAGTTGCCAGAACACTACTTGCCTGACTGCATTGTGCCAAGTGTAAAGTTTGGTGGAGGGGGGATTATATAAATATATGAAAATTTGTATACCCAAACTTCCTGTAATGCGAAGGGGAAGAATGTAATGGGGGAAATCTGTACTGAGGAGACATTTGTACTGTAGGGGGGATCTATACTGAAGGGGAGATTTGTACTACAGTAGGGAATCCATACTAGGGTGAGGAAGAATGTAATGGGGGGAGATCTGTACTGGGGGGAAATTTGTACTGGGAGGATCTATATTGAGGGGGAAATTTGAACTGTGAGGATATATACTCATTGGGAGATTTGTACTGTGCCAGGAATCTATACTGGGGCAAGGGAGAATGTAATGGGGAAGATCTATACTGATGGGGAGATTTGTACTGCGGGAGGGAATCAATACTGGGGTGGGGGAGAATGTAAAGGGGGGGGGGGATCTGTACTGGGGGAAGATTTGTACTGCGGAAGGGTATCTATACTGGGGCGAGGGAGAATGTCATTGGGGAGATTTGTACTGGGGGGTATCTATACTGAGGGAGAGGTTTGTACTGTGGGAGAGACTAGCCATACTGGGGCGAGGGAGAATGTAATGAGGGGGGATCTGTACTGGGGGAATATTTGTACTGCCGGAAGGAATCTATACCGAGGGAGAATGTAATTGGGGAGATTTGTACTGGGGGTGATCTATACTGAGGGAGAGGTTTGTACGAGGAAATCCATACTGGGGAGAATGTAATGTGGGGGGGATCTGTACTGGGGGAAGATTTGTACTGCGGGAGGGAATCTATACTGGGGAGAGGGAGAATGTAATTGGGGAGATTTGTACTGGGGGGTGATCTATACTGAGGGAGAGGTTTGTACTGTGGGAGGGAATCCATACTGGGGCGAGGGAGAATGTAATGAGGGGGGGATCTGTACTGGGGGAAGATTTATACTGCCGGAAGGAATCTATACTGGGGCGAAGGAGAATGTAATTGGGGAGATTTTGTACTGGGGGGTGATCTATACTGAGGGAGAGGTTTGTACTGCGGGAGGGAATCCATACTGGGGCGAGGGAGAATGTAATGGAGGGGGGGAGGTATCTGTACTGGTGGAAGATTTGTACTTCCGGAGGGAATCTATACTGGGGCGAGGGAGAATGTATTGGGAGATTTGTACTGGGGGGTGATCTATACTGAGGGAGAGGTTTGTACTGAGGGAGGGAATCCATACTGGGGCGAGGGAGAATGTAATGGAGGGGGGGTATCTGTACTGGTGGAAGACTTGTACTTCCGGAGGGAATCTATACTGGGGCGAGGGAGAATGTAATTGGGGGGGGAATCTGTACTGGGGGAAGGTTTGTACTGCAAATGTAATTGGGGAGATTTGTAGAGTATAAATAAAGCCTATTAGACCACAGAGATGGCCACAAGGATGGCAGAGCGTTCGACTTGTGGTGCGGTCGGCCCTCTGACGCGTTTCGAGAACAATCCCTTTCCTCAGAGCCAACAAGAAGAATCTAATGGAGTGCGTTCTGCATGCTATTAGATTCATTACAGGACAGGTGAGACATTAGGGGACTTTAAAATGTCCCATTAAAGAGAACCTGTCACCAGAAAAATACATCACGTAGAGGACTTTTTGTCCCCATATGGTGAAAAAAAAATAAGTTTAGTAACAAAAAATTTGTTATAAAAAAAAAAAAAAAAAAAAACGTTACCCCCAAGCACTTATAATCCCCCCAAAATGTTGAGCCCTACCTTACCAACACATACATGCACCTACGCAAGAAAACGTTGATTGCGCTACAAATGTTACATATTACTGCGCACATCGGAGTGAGATGAATCATTCCAAGCCATTATTCATGGTTAGCTCTAAAATGATGGCTTTTAGGGGCTTTTAAAGCATCCCCTATGGAGAATACAGGGTACCATAATTTGTTACTGTTCCACGGGCACATGCAATTTTAAAATTTGTAATGTTGGAAATCTATCTACTGGCGCCATCTTTTATGTAGTACCAAAAAAAATTGTGTTTCTCTTCTCTAAAATGAACTTTAGCATACTTTAAATGGAAATTTGGTGTTTCCTTCATTGGAACTACTGCTATTTTATTCTCTGGGGTGTCTGCTTTCAGGAAATATATAATATTTGGGGATTTATGTCATATTCAGTCCTAAAATTATTTTTTAAAACACAAACATGTAAAAAGGGTTAAGTGTCCTGTGTTTCTTCCATCCATCTCTCACACCTTTTAATGCGTGGGCTGAATGGCGCTCTGATTGGCATGGTATTAATGGTCCTGGGAACAATTACAATCCTGCCTCCAACATGTAACAGCAAACATCGTTCATATTTACCGAGTCAACGAGGATGAAGGATCCCGGATGTCGATTGGTGGCCTCCAAACGCTGGAAGCGGATGCTGATTTCATACTGGTTGTTATTTTCAAAGCAAAAGGGCTTCGAGAGGACCAGATATCTAGAAATGAAAGACATACGTGAAAGCCTTATCTTCTATACCAAGGGTGGTCAAATGTCTTTCTTTGGGGGGCCTCAAGTGCAGGCCCCTGACATCACCAAAGGGTCAAACATAATAAGTGAATATAATGCTACAGAAAACTCTCAGAGACTTTGGATGTGCAACAGAAGATAGAGGCTGCAAACATGCTATAGAAGTTGTTGGAGCCCGGGGACATGCTTCAGGAGAAGGTCATAGACTGGAGACATATTAAATTAGACTGTTAGAGATTGGGGATCTCCAAACTATGGCTTATGGCCCACATCCAGTGATCTCTTTCATAATCTTCTCCTGGACCATGACCTCAGGCTCTAAAATAAAAACTCTTATAGCATACAGTCTCTGACCACCTCCTGTACCGTGTCTACCATCTCCAACCATCTCCTGTACCATCTCTACAGTTTCCAGCCATCTCCGGTACCATGTCTAAAGTCTCTGACTGTCTCCTGTAACGCGTCTACAGTCTGTGACTGTCTCCTGTAACACGTCTACAGTCTGTGACCGTCTCCTGTAACATGTCTACAGTCTGTGACTGTCTCCTGTAACACGTCTACAGTCTGTGACCGTCTCCTGTAACACATCTACAGTCTCCATCACTTCCTGTACCATGTTTAATTTATGATCGCCTCCAGGATCATGCCACTAAAAACTCTTATAGCATATCTACAGTCTCTGACCATCTCCTGTAGCATGTCTACAGTCTCTGACCATCTCCTGTAACATGTCTACAGCTTCTGACCATCTCCTTTAACATGTCTACAGTCTCTGACCATCTCCTGTAATATGTCTACAGTCTCTGACCATCTCCTGTAACATGTCTACAGTCTCTGACCATCTCTTGTAGTATCTCTACAGTCTCTGACCATCTCCTGTAACATGTCTACAGTCTCTGATCATCTCTTGTAGTATCTCTACAGTCTCTGACCATCTCCTGTAATATGTCTACAGTCTCTGACCATCTCTGTAATATGTCTACAGTCTCTGACCATCTCCTGTAGTATCTCTACAGTCTCTGATCATCTCCTGTAGTATTTCTACAGTATCTGACCATCTCCTGTAACATGTCTACAGTCTCTGACCATGCCCTGTAATAGGTCTACAGTCTCTGACCATCTCCTGTAACATGTCTACAGTCTCTGACCATCTCTTGCAGTATCTCTACAGTCTCTGACCATCTCCTGTAATATGTCTACAGTCTCTGACCATCTCCTGTAATATGTCTACAGTCTCTGACCATCTCTGTAATATGTCCACAGTCTCTGACCATCTTCTGTAGTATCTCTACAGTCTCTGACCATCTCCTGTAGTATCTCTACAGTCTCTGACCATCTCCTGTAGTATTTCTACAGTATCTGAACATCTCCTGTAACATGTCTACAGTCTCTGACCATCTCCTTTAACAGGTCTACAGTCTCTGACCATCTCCTGTAGTATCACTACAGTCCCTGACCATCTCCTGTATTATTTTCGCTAGTCAGATGTCAGGTGTTGAGTAATTTGACCGTCATTGACATAAACAAACGATGGTCAAAAACGTCTTTTCCATTACTAGTTTTTACATTCTGAGAACAATTTTACAATGTCACAGCTTACCTCTCTGAATGTGGCAGTTTTTCCCGATACATCTGCTCAGAGGGTAGCACATTTCCACAGCGAGGGCTCATGGGTAATATCTGAGATGTCACACTGACAATGGCTTCCCAGTCCTCTGCTGACTACAAGGAAAGCAATGGAGAACAATGGTTATTGGAACTCTGTGCTGCTATAACACAAGCAGGGATCACATGACCGAGTGCCAAGGCTGGAGTTCATTTATCAACATGGTTCAAAAATGTATGTTGTTTTCTACTATCTATAATTCTTATAAAATGGAGTGTTACTTTCACTCCACTGGAGTCTCTCAGCCAGGGTTCCTCCAAAGGTTTCTTGGGTTCCTTGATCTCTGACAAATTGATTTCCCAAAGTTCCATGGCCAAAGCCACTTGGCAGAGCAAGCAGCATGACACCAATGATCTTACTAGATGTGACAGACAATTTTCCCACTGACCCCCAATGTAAGGGCATTCTTCCCACTGACCACCAATGTAAGGGGCATTCTTCCCACTGACCACCAATGTAAGGAGCATTCTTCCCACTGACCACCAATGTAAGGGGCATTCTTCCCACTGACCCCCAATGTAAGGAGCATTCTTCCCACTGACCCCCAATGTAAGGTGTATTCTTCCCACTGACCCCCAATGTAAGGGGCATTCTTCCCACTGATCCCAATGTAAGGAGTATTCTTCCCACTGACCCCCAATGTAAGGAATATTCTTCCCACTGACCCCCAATGTAAGGGGCATTCTTCCCACTGACCCCCAATGTAAAGGGCATTCTTCCCACTGACCACCAATGTAAGGGACATTCTTCCCACTGACCACCAATGTAAGGGACATTCTTCCCAGTGACCACCAATGTAAGGGACATTCTTCCCAGTGACCACCAATGTAAGGGACATTCTTCCCACTGACCCCCAATGTAAGGAGTATTCTTCCCACTGACCCCCAATGTAAGGGGCATTCTTCCCACTGACCACCAATGTAAGGGACATTCTTCCCACTGACCACCAATGTAAGTGACCTTCTTCCCACTGACCACCAATGTAAGGAGCATTCCTCCCACTGACCACCAAAGTAAGGACCATTCTTTCTACTGACAACTAATGTAAGGAGCATTCTTCCCACTGACCACCAATGAAAGGGACATTCTTCCCACTGACCCCCAATGTAAGGGGCATTCTTTGTACTGACCACCAATGTAAGGAGCGGAGCATTCTTCCCACTGACCCCTCTGAGACCTAAAAATTACTTCAAGGCTTCCTCTGGGTGCAAAGATTGATAATGGCTGATAGGCTGAGAGGATCTGATTGGTCAATTAGCTGATTGCACATTACTGCCCTCTGGTGTTATGTTAATTACAATGTAACATTCGTATCTTATAGATATGTATCATTTGAGAGAACTTGCATAGGTCACGTCAGTACCTCAGGCTCATATCGGATCATGATGTCATAGTCCATGGGATACGGGATGTTGTTGATGTGAAACAAGAGGCCAGCGCCATCTCTAACACGAGCGAAGCCAGGCCCAGTCCAGGTGATCATGTGATCTGGAGAGTGTTCCCGATGGATGATCTCAATGTCTGCCTGCAGGAGACAGTAACGGGGGGGGGGGGGAGATTTCCATTAGAGTGTAGAGAACGCCATGGCCCCCCCACACACACATGTTCAGAGATGCCTGCTGTTATTCTTACACAAGACTCAGGATTTACAGACAATTAGGTGCCACAGGGTGTGTCCTGAACACCTGGCTGCCAAAGAGTTGTCAATCTTTACGAGTACAGAGACATATAAACGTAATCCTCATCCAATCCAACCAGATTCTTCTTGATCGGTAATGATTATTATGGTTTGCAGAATTTTCTGGCACCCCCGTCTATTCATCCTCAGAGGAAAAGCCAGGCAGGATTTTCTGAAGTACTTGAATATGCCCCCCTTCCCCCCCCCCACACCACCACCACCACACTCTGAACCTAGACTTTGTCCATGTAGGGCAAAACTAGAAGTTCAAGGTAGGAGCCTGGTCAAAATCTAACCAAGCTTACACCTGCTCCCACCCCACGCTCATTCTACGCTCTATACCAACTACCCTGTAAAAGAATGTAAGTATACTTATATACTGTACCCAATCTTAGGGTGGTCCAGCCCAGTCATGTGATCTCTACAGCGGCCAGCTTCAAGGGAGGGGAGAGAGCAGCGGCAATGGCTGCAGAGAAGCTGCGGAGAATCATCTCCTGTAGCATGTCTACAGTCTTTGACCATCTCCTGTACTATGTCACGTGACATCTCCAGCCCAGTCATGTGATCTCTACAGCAGCCAGCTTCAAGGGAAGGAAGAGAGCAGCGGCAATGGCTGCGGAGAACCATCTCCTGTAGCATGTCTACAGTCTTTGACCATCTCCTGTTCCATGTCACGTGACCATCTCCAGCCCAGTCACGTTGATCTCCTATAGCGGCCAGCTTCAAGGGAGGGAGAGAGAGCAGGCAATGGCTGCAGAGAAGCTGCGGAGAACCATCTCCTGTAGCATGTCTACAGTCTTTGACCATCTCCTGTACCATGTCACGTGACCATCTCCAGCCCAGTCACGTGATCTCTACAGCGGCCAGCTTCAAGGGAAGGAGAGAGCAGCGGCAATGGCTGCAGAGAGCTGTGGAGAACCATCTCCTGTAGCATGTCTACAGTCTTTGACCATCTCCTGTACCATGTCACGTGACCATCTCCAGCCCAGTCCTCACATGATCTCTACAGCAGCCAGCTTTAGGGAGGGGAGAGAGCAGCAGCAATGGCTGCAGAGAAGCTGTGGAGAACCATCTCCTGTAGCATGTCTACAGTCTTTGACCATCTCCTGTACCATGTCACGTGACCATCTCCAGCCCAGTCACATGATCTCTACAGCAGCCAGCTTTAAGGGAGGGGAGAGCAGCGGCAATGGCTGCAGAGAAGCTGCAGAGAACCATCTTCTGTAGCATGTCTACAGTCTTTGACCATTTCCTGAGGGGAGAGAGCAGCGACAATGGCTGCAGAGCCTAGGCAGTGACATCACCCACAGACTTTTTATGGGGCATCCGTTTTTCCGCTGTCCCTCTGTCCTAAACCCAGTGCTGGGAGCCAATCATGTGACCAGACCAGAGCACCCTTAGATTAGGTAAGTACCCAAATGGAAGAAAAACATATTTTAAACCAGCGTTGCGTTCCTGAAAACCAATAAGAACAGATTTTTTTAAGTCCGCAAACGTGCAACTATAACGAAAAAACCCGTAAGTGTTCACAAAAAAAGTGCAAGTGCAAAACGCCACACGAAAAAGTGCACTTAGGGGTGTGCTGTGTCCTACCCCTAAAGGGGCTTGGACCGCTTACCCTGATCCCCCGGGGCACGAAGCTCCTGACGGGGACAAGGTTCCCAATCGGTCCTCCTGGCCAAAAGGCCTGGTGGACCACCGTTCCCTATGCCCAGCCGAAGCCGGACATCCAGTACTAGACAAGGGGACTCTCCCGAAGAAGAGTCCCCTAGGGATCAGGGGAGGAAGGAACCGTAGGGCCACACATCCTCCTTCCTAGACTTCAGGGTAGGCCCGAGGACCCACACCCTCCATCCGTGAAAAACACACACATAAGAGCAAAAAAGTGACAAACGTGGGAGTGCGTAATAAATAAAGATAAAGAAAAAATAAAAAAGTGGTTCCGTGCCGAATTGTGCACAGACCAGGCCCTGAGGCCTGTAGCAAAAATTGCCCTGGTCCTAGCCAAAAGGCCTGGTCCTTAGGGCGCTGTGCAAAAAGAGGTGAAAAACAGTGGCCATGTGTCATCTTCACACCGTGGGGTCCCACACCCAAGTGTTACTAGTGACACCCCTGAGAGCGTCTTCCCCAGGGGGCACTGAGTTTGCGGACTTTTTGCGTCCCCAGCCCCAGGCCAGACCAAGGTAGATCCGTCCAAATCAGGAGGTACTGGGTCTTTCCAGCTTTCCCAGAGGAATTACTCCCAAGGTCCCAGAGCGTATCGTGGCGCCCCCTGGTTTCTGTCCCTCCGGTCCAGCCTTCCGGACCCCCATCATACCAGTGAGGGTACTATACAACAACCATCCCCGCAAAGCTAGAATGGTCGGGAGCACCCCCACTGGACACTGATAAGAACAGATACTTCACTTGATCTTAACAAAACAAGAGGTGAGGGTCAATTTTCCATGGGGGGCCATCTGTCTAAGAGGGGAAGATTTGCCCTCACCTCTTGTTCTGGTGACAACTTTAAATGGATTTCCCATTACGTTTTGCTTTTGTGGCAGTGGTCTTCAAGACAAAAATAGAGGGTAAACTCTTTTACTTTAATGCCCATGGTTTGGAATGGGATGTCCATCAAGCTCATATAGGCCGCACACCGATGATCTCAGGGGAGGTTCCATGGTGGGACTTCCTTGTGCATGTTCTCTAGAACAATGAAGTTTTGTTGGAAAGCGGAGATCATCTGTGTGTGGCCGGTTTGTACAGCACAGACATATGACGAGCGGGGATGAGCTCCATCCAACACCTACCCTTGAGTTTCCACCAACATACCAAGTAAGCATTGAAGCAGACCACTTACACCTTACACAGTTGCTGGTAAAACCAACTGATTAAAACTTCTCCATATGTGGCCAACTTTCCGAAATGTGGAAATAACTTCAAATGAAGGTGTTCCCCAACATTCTCAGCTGAGGATGTAATGTGTTGGAAGTATAGCTAGTCAAATAATACAACAGTAGCAGATCCAACCTTTGGGGGCGTTGGGCTCACCCTTTGTTGCAGTTGGCGTGCTCGCCGGTTGGCCGCCCTCTGTTGCAGGATGCGGATGGTTCTTCGGTGTCGGCGCAGCCTCACTTTCTTTCCATTCTGAATGGCGTTGTAGTACTCCACACAGTCCGTCTGAGACTCTGGTTTGGGGTCACCCTGTTTAACAAGCAGGTACAATAATTATCACTGCCCTGTACTCCTGCCTTCCTGAACTGGAACCTTCCTGACTTAAAGCTGAACTCCGGGCTAAAAAAATATTATCTAAAATACAAGAGTCATGTCATGTGTATTCTTCATTGAATCCTGGTGTGCTCTGGGCACTTCTTCCAGGTCTTTGCAGGAATCCATTGTGAGACTTCCTGTAATAAAGACCACTCACTGCTGCTCTCTCTCCTTGTGGAGGGTGACTGGTCTAGTTTTTTGCAGACAGCCTGTAGTGGGTGGAGCCTGCAAGGACCCTCCCACAGTTCCTCATGTGCTATGTGCAGTACAGTGATTATTTCATTGCTACTTTTACATGGTAATAACTAGGGTTGTAAAAGCATTTGGTGCACACAAAGCAGATTTTGCGGCTATTGGAGAAGATATTGTAATTAAAATGTTACTAAACCCACAACAGTACAATCAGTCTGTAGATGCAGTAAAGCATGCTTGTTATACTCACTGTGGAACCTAAGGGGTAATCCTCTGAATTGAGTAGAAGGCTGGTTGATCCTGTCTTCTCTGATCCTCCCCTTTTTCTACTGTCCCCAATCTATCTGCTGATATACAGAGCTCTAGGAATCACTCTGCACATGCTCAGTTTGGTGTGTATTTCTAGAGAGTTTTTTTTTCCTTTGGGAGGGTGCATGTGATCAGCACAGGGCCAATCAGCACTGTCCAGACAGAGGGTCAAGGGTTATGCAGCCTCAGGACAATCAGAGGAGAATGAAAATGCATCCTACAAGCTTTAACCAGTGCTCAAGAAATCACAAGACTGCTATATACTGCTGATGATAAAAGGTATTTAGCAGTTTAAATTTACTAAAATAATTGCATTTCCATGTTGTGTGTACTGTGGGAGACCAGATATAGTGAATGCAGGGTCTGGGGAGAGCGGATTTAGGGAATGCAGGGTCCGGGGAGACCGGATATAGTGAATGCAGGGTCCGGGGGAGACCGGATATAGTGAATGCAGGGTCCGGGGAGACCGGATATAGTGAATGCAGGGTCTGGGGAGAGCGGATATAGGGAATGCAGGGTCCGGGGAGACCGGATATAGTGAATGCAGGGTCCGGGGAGACCGGATATAGTGAATGCAGGGTCCGGGGAGACCGGATATAGTGAATGCAGGGTCCGGGGAGACCGGATAGTATAGTGAAGGCAGGGTCCGGGGAGACCGGATATAGTGAATGCAGGGTCCGGGGAGACCAGATATAGTGAATGCAGGGTCCAGGGAGAGAGCGGATATATTGAATGCAGGGTCCGGGAGACCGGATATAGTGAATGCAGGGTCCTGGGAGAGCGGATATAGTGAATGCAGGGTCCGGGGAGACCAGATATAATGAATGCAGGGTCCTGGGAGACCAGATATAGTGAATGCAGGGTCCGGGGAGACCGGATATATTGAATGCAGGGTCTGGAGAGAGCAGATATAGTGAATGCAGGGTCCGGGGAGACCAGATATAGTGAATGCAGGGTCCGGGGAGAGCGGATATAGTGAATGCAGGGTCCGGGGAGAGAGCGGATATAGTGAATGCAGGGTCCGGGGAGACCGGATATAGTGAATGCAGGGTCCGGGGAGACCAGATATAGTGAATGCAGGGTCCAGATATAGGAATGGACAGGTCCGGGGAGACCAGATATAGTGAATGCAGGGTCCGGGGAGACCGGATATAGTGAATGCGGGGGTCCCGGGGAGAGCGGATATAGTGAATGCGGGGTCCGGGGAGACCGGATATAGTGAATGCGGGGTCCGGGGAGAGCGGATATAGTGAATGCGGGGTCCGGGGAGAGCGGATATAGTGAATGCGGGGTCCGGGGAGAGCGGATATAGTGAATGCGGGGTCCGGGGAGACTGGATATAGTGAATGCGGGGTCCGGGGAGACCAGATATAGTGAATGCAGGGTCCGGGGAGAGCAGATAAAGTGAATGCAGGGTCCAGGGGGACCATATATAGTGAATGCAGGGTCCAGGGAGACCAGATATAGTGAATGCAGGGTCTGGGGACCAGATATAGTGAATGCAGGGTCTGCGGAGAGTGGATATAGTGAATGCAGGATCCGGGGAGACCAGATATAGTGAATGCAGGTCCAGGGAGACCAGATATAGTGAATGCAGGGTCCAGGGAGACCAGATATAGTTAATGCAGGGTCCGGGGAGAGAGCAGATAAAGTGAATGCAGGGTCTGGGGAGGGCGGATATAGTGATTGCAGGGTCTGGGGAGGGCGGATATAGTGATTGCAGGGTCTGGGGAGACCGATATAGTGAATGCAGGGTCCTGGGAGACCAGATATAGTGAATGCAGGGTCCTGGGAGACCAGATATAGTGATTGCAGGGTCTGGGGAGATTAGATATAGTGAATGCAGGGTCTGCGGAGAGTGGATATAGTGAATGCAGGATCCGGGGAGACCAGATATAGTGAATGCAGGTCCAGGGAGACCAGATATAGTGAATGCAGGGTCCAGGGGACCAGATATAGTTAATGCAGGGTCCGGGGAGAGCAGATAAAGTGAATGCAGGGTCTGGGGAGGGCGGATATAGTGATTGCAGGGTCTGGGGAGGGCGGATATAGTGATTGCAGGGTCTGGGGAGACCGGATATAGTGAATGCAGGGTCCTGGGAGACCAGATATAGTGAATGCAGGGTCCAGGGAGACCAGATATAGTGAATGCAGGGTCCGGGGAGAGCAGATATAGTGAATGCAGGGTCCAGGGAGACCAGATATAGTGAATGCAGGGTCCGGGGAGAGCAGATATAGTGAATGCAGGGTCCAGGGAGACCAGATATAGTGAATGCAGGGTCCAGGGTAACACTTTATTTGTGCCTGAACTTCAGCTTTAAAAGTAAATCCAGGGGGAGCTCTCTAAGATGGCCGCTCAAACTGAGAGCTCCGTCCCAGGCCGGCCGATGATACCCAACCACGGCACCCACAGCCCTCGTTCTGAGCTCTCCAGCGGGTCTGGCAACTGGGAGAGATGGAGCAGAGGATGTGATCCCACCATCGGTCAGTGGACTCATTCAGGCTTGGACTTCCAAGCTCGGACCTGCTACACAGCCATGCGGTCTGTCTCCTCACTTGCTGGGTGATGAAGGGGGAGGCCTGATGGAGATTCCGGACACCCAGAGCAGTCATGTGAGTACCCCTGCCTCACGTAGAGATTCACCAGCTTCTATGGAGTCCCTCATCGATCATGCCATGGACGATCTGGCTCTCTCTCAGTGCAGGCCTTCCAGCCTATCCCGCCTGACCCAGCTGCGGGTTCTGACACCCCCTGCAGCATGGATATGACCAGCATGTTCTTCAGATTTTCTGAGCTGCTGGACAAACATCTGACTAAGATGGCCTCGCAGATTACTACAGATATTATGGTGGACTTGCAGGGCTTAGACTCCCGCATTGATACCATTGAGACTAAGATGGATAAAATGGTAGCCAGAATACAGCACGCATCCAAGACCTCCAGGATCAGCTAGAGACTGCTTTGCCAAAATTGATGATTTGGACAACCGATCAAGGCGCTATAATTTCAGAATCAGGGGGCTTCCTGAAACTGTGAAGGACACTCCTGCAGTAGTCCAAGAATTCCTGAAAGGCCTCCTCCCTTGCCAAAATTGATGATTTGGAGAACTGATCAAGGCGCTATAATTTCAGAATCAAGGCGCTCCCTGAAACTGTGAAGGACACTCCTGCAGTAGTCCAAGAATTCCTGAAAGGCCTCCTCCCTACGACCCCTGACCACATGCTGGAGGTGGATAGGGCACATCGAGCTTTACAATCACCTCGGGCAGATGGGTCACCGTGGGATATTATTGTGAAGCCACATTTCGAGTCAAGGAAGCTGTGATGTGATGCTCTTGAGATACCCCTTGCTTACAAATCCAAGGACATGAGATCCAGATCTTCGCTGATCTTTCACCGTATACTATTCAGCGACAGCGGGCCCTTAGACCCTTGCTGCAGGCTTTCACGAGAAATTTCATTAAATATTGCTGGTCCTTCCCTTTTCGTTTAGCTTTTTATTTCAAGAATAAGGCTTATAGCTTCTCATTGTCCCAGGAGGGGGGAATGTCTCCTACTGCAGCTGGGTCTCGTTGCTCAGGAACCCCCTGCTTCTTCTCCGGCTCCAAACACCCCAGGGCTAGCTAAACGCAGTCTACCACCATGTCCAATTTCACCATTATGGCAAAGATCCAAGTCTAGAAGATCCAGGGACTCTAGGCCCTCATGAATATCTGCAAACTCCTTCTTTGGTTACCTGTTTCTCTTGCTGGTTGGATTGTGAAACCAGTGATGCTAGGGGTGTCTGTGGGACTCATTTTGCCATAATAGTTTTCATATGTTACCTTTTAAATTTATGACCAAGCATTGTGGGTTGGGTTTTTCAGTTGTGAGGATGCAGATGAGGCCTCCTTGGCTCGGGGATCCCCGACTGACTTGGAGGGTCCCGGGGGTTTGGAGGCTTAGGAGAGTGCCCTTCCCAGGGTCTCCCGGGGCCAGCCTGCTACAGTGGCGGTGGGGGCCTGGGGGAGGGTGAACCTAACCTACATTTTTGATCCTACGGGTATAATATTATTTGGGAATAGCTGTATCTATTATAGTGACTGGTAGGCCGATCTGGAGTGGCACGCTACCCCCCCTGTTCCATTGTGTCTTGTGTGACACTGTGGCGCAGGCAGTGGTCCCTAGTTGGTGGAATCCTCTCGGATTAAGCGGGAGCGCTGGATAGATATAGAGAAATTAGATGCTGAATTGCAGTCACTTAGCAAACTCCATAAACTCAAACCTAATAGGGACACACTCACTATACTGGAACCGACTAGGCTAGCCTTGAGTTTAGCGTTGAAGACTAGGGCCGAGAAGGATTTGAGGTGGACCAACGCACGGTTTTATTGTCAACAGGATAGAATTGGCTCGATGCAGAGGGGACTCTAATGGGGTCTTTG